GTTGCTTAGGTTTTACACCCACGAAACAGCAAATGTCATATGAAGTCATTTTATGAAAATGTCACGAAAAAGGACATTGCTACAGGCAGTAGTACAAGACGTCGGTTCCCAAAGAAATTGTTCTCCAATGTAGGGTTTTTGTTTGTCTTGTAACAGTAGTAAACACAGATCCCCATACATATACAGAGAAACACGGCTATACCGACATAGCCGGCGATGTGTGGAGCACGAACGGGAAAAAGTTAAATCCATCTTTTTTTTTCCATAGAAGGCAAATATTTACGTCTTTTACCGTGGACAGACTCAGCGAATGAATTTCTAGTAGGCGTTGCACTCCAACATACGTAGTTCCTAAATACACTGCCACGAGAGAGGGTGAAATAGACCCGGGGGTATTGCTCATCTTTCGGTCAGTTGGCTCCAGTTACAGAAAAATCAGTGTTCTCGTATCATAAACGCTCACCTAGTTATTGCCGGGTCTTCCGATGCGTTTAAGAAAATGGAAATGCAACCTAATTTTTCACATAAAAAAGAAATACGCCGTCCTGGAAACATCATTAATTGAACAGCTTTTTTCGCGGGAAAGATGATACGATGTTAATGGTGTTTTCTCGAGGTGTTGGGACCAACCTGGTGAACTATTCCCCAAGGCCGTATTGACTGAAAGGGCATGAATTAACTGTTTTGTTAGTTACAAATATTTCGAAGTCCAAGAATAAAGATTCCTTCGCATCGCAATTTGCCGTTAGAATTCTTACCGCTGCCTTAATCACATTTTTTGGTATTACAAGAATAACTGTTTTCAACTAATTCCAGTAAACCCTAGGCCAAATCTGATATTTCTTGAGAACGTTCTCTTTGAGCGACAGCCATCTTCGGAAACGTCTGCTCGCAAACAAAACGACGTCAGTGTTCGCAAAGCGCTTTACTCGAGATCAAATACATGCTTGGACGCGTTCTTTGCTAAGGAAACGTGTGTTAGTTCGGGAGCTTCAAATGAAAATAGTTTTGACTAATTCATGGCTGTATATGAATAACCCTATTTTCACTATGAATAAAGTCAAACTTGTTTTGTTACTTTTCATATAGAGAGTTAGGTAACAATTCCACTTTGCACATTTTAAATCATTTAATATACATACCAGTATTGATTATCTTTAAAATTGACAATAGATCTTAACTTAAAACAAAAATACCATGTGAAATATTTTAGTTACAAAAAGTCAGTCCGTGTTAGCGAAGGTAGCTGACCGATAAACAGCGGTTGTGTAGCGGCTAAGCACATCAGGCCATGATGCAATTGGAATGTCAACGAGCTGGATGAATGGAATTGAAAGTGTATCTGTGGATTGTGGAGCTTCCGAAAAAACCAGATGACGATTTAAAAGACGATGTTGACTAAATGAGTATGCAGGTGATCAACTATATATAAGACAAAGACAAAATATTTTATAAAAGCTAGCTGCTTCAGTATTTATCGAATTTAAATGTCTGATTTTCATGACACTGAAGTCCATTCTGTCAACAACTTGACATTACAACTCCTATAGAAGCTATTATATGTTTACTTGTTTTTACCCTACAATGTAACATATACTTTCTAAATGATTATTAATGGTATATACAAATCTGTGTTCCCTGTCAAGATACTAAAAGCTCTATGTTCTAACTTTTTTTTTTCATAGACAAAAACATACACATTTTGTCGTAATACATAGTATTACAGTTACATGTGTACATAAACATGAACACAAACATGCATGCATTCATGCACTCATACTTATCATACATATATAACATACATACATACATACATACATACATACATACATACATACATACATACATACATACATACATACATACATACATACATACATACATACATACATAACATACATACTTACATACATACATATATAACATACATGAATACATATTTACATACATGCATACATACATAAACATCCCAACATGCACGCACAAACGGATGTACGCACATATATATATACATACCCACACACATGCACACACATACACACACACGCAGATGCGCTTGTATGCTGTAAGGATATTAGTCATTAAAGGTATACACTATACAATTTGACATTGATATATAATATTCTTATACAGTAAATAATTTTGCATTGTGAGATGTTTTACTTGTACATAATATTATTTGGCATTGCGATATGTTATAGGTATATAGTAAACAATTTGGCCGGGTGATATGTTATAGTTATAAATTATACAATTGAATTGTGAGATGTTATACTTATACAGTAAATTTGGCATTTTGATACATGATACTTGAACAGTACACAATTTGGCTTTGTGATATATATGTTATAGTTAAAATTATCCAGTATACAATTTGGCATTGTAATACATTATAGGTACATGTATACAGTATAAAAACTGGAATTGTGATATATCATAGTTACAGTACACAATTTGGTATTGTCATATGTTATACTTGTACAAGTTTACAATTTGACATATAAACAGAGGAAAACAATAAAAATCTTTTTACTTAGTAAGAACTTGTTTGTATTATATGCTGATATGCACACGTTTGTACACTGTTACACATACACATGTTTATAAACATATACTCGCATACAGAGCTATACATGTTCATGTATAATATACATATCTTCTCATTTTACTACTATGGATCCAGTAACCATCTACAACAAAGCAAAAAGAGGAGCCCAGAGAGTTGTTACCTTGCAGCACCATCTTAGCAACTACAACTCGTACATCCAGGACAATATTGTACCCCAAGGTTTACGATTCAAGTGCACGCCCAATGTTGGTCTTATGTCTGAATCTGCTACTGCACGCTTTGACCACATCAAACTTGTCTGTCAAACTAAACTTCTACATCTTCTTCAAGGCATTTGTAATAGTAAACTTTAATTTAAAACACCTGACTTCAGTTACACCCGAGAATGATAGAAACATCTACCTTCAGAAGATTCAACATTTCGAAAACATCAAACGTACACCTCTTAGACATACACAAATGAAAAACTCCACCGCGATGGGCTTCACAATCTCCCGGAAACTGACATCAACTCACGTCGCACAGTTAAAAAGACAAGAGGGAGAAGGTTCCGACGTTAATACCAAACTGTCAAGACCACTACGAGTAAGTAATACAGTCGTCAACCTATCAAACCATCCCCTTACAGAACCAGAGCATGCTCTTCTTACTAAGGGTCTTAATTTTTGTCCGATCCCCAAAAGCACCAACAATGCGGAGCTGATCGAAGACATGGACACATTCTACAGGCTTATTCGGCTACGCGTGTACTTTGCTAAAGACCCTTACCAAGATGATGTAGAGGATACTCCGTCAGAAGAGTCTCCCGTCTCCCTTCCATTTGTTGCCCTTGAAGGGAGGCTTATACTTGGGCTGCGCAGAGAACTGCGAAGCCGAAGGTTTAGCCTTCTTCTTAGGAGGCGCTGACCCCTGCGAGGTACTGGCCTTCTCAGCCTGAATCCTCTTCACCAGAAGTGCAGAGGCGACCGAGTCCTCCTTCAAATCCTTCTGAACAGAAGGAAGGGCCCCTCCAAAAAGAGTGGATCCTGAGAAGGGAGCAGTCAACAGTCTGGAACGGTAAGGCTCATCGACCGGGCGATTTTTCAAAACTGAAAACCGCCTAGCCAACAAGACATTGACGAGGGATGACACCTGTAAAGCTGCCAGCGCTCTCAATGCCCCGTTCAGGGCAGAGGTCACTCTGTCCTGGATGTCGGCCTGCTCTGTCTCGGTAATCCGACCCTCAGGCAGGTCGGATACCCTATATAGACAAACCGTCAGGTAGTCTATATACGACAGAATCTGGATGGAGAGACGCAGCAGTCTCTCCATCTTGTGGTGTTCTTTGGGACCGAACACCACCTGGTCCACCGATTTACCGGGCCAGGCTGCAAGTTCCCTCGATTCCGGCGCGTTAAGTCGGCCAGACGGATGTCGGCCCTCCAGAGGTGGATTAATGGAGAGGTCAAAACCCCCCTTAAATAAACAGTGTTTTGTGAAGGTCAGATCCCCCCTTAAGTGAACAGTATTTTATGAAGGTCAGATCCCCCCTTAAGTGAACAGTATTTTGTGAAGGTCGGAACCCCTTTAAGTAGATAACACATTGTCGCCTTCTAGAATTGAGCGAGTAGTTGTTTAGTAACTCCTTAAGTAACAATTTGTTAAGTACAGTCCTACCGTACCCATTTGGAGATGAGGATGGTGATGGAGGCCAGTGTTTGAATTAGGCCTCAATAACCACAGCTTCTAGTCTTGCTGGGCTTATCTCCCCAAGGAACACCACGGCTATGGATATAATCCACACAATAGGCACAGTCACCCCGTGCCTTGATAAGTATGAGAATAGTCTCCCCTTGACATGGCCCAATATCAGCTATGGGGTATGTGGTAACACTGATGGTCAATCCGACAGTGTTTTTTTGCAAATTGCATTGATGGGCATGCTGCCTGTAGACGGCCCCATTTAAGGTGTTATCCTACCAACTACTGATAAAGGGAGCTGTCTTATCACAATAGGGACCCAGGGAGTCAATAAAATGGCCAAGGAAAGAATGCCCTTCCAATTTGTATAACAATGTAGGATGGCTTGGTTTTGGAAGATAATAGGGAAGCTTAACCTCCCCTGCCTGTGAATGCCACAGACGAATCTGGGGGCTACTTCAGTGCCCCCCACTTTGAGTTTGGAGTTAAGGAGGAGAGTATCCCACTCCCCTTACTACAACCGTAGTTCTGACGTGCTGAAAGGTTGCTTGCACGGAGTTCGGGAGTAAGCTGGTGGGGAAGTAATCCCTCCCCACACTACAGGTGTGCCACACTACTGGTGGCGACAGTTGGCTATGCCAGGAGGTCCCTTACTCGAAAGAGTAGAACCCCCTGGCATTGGCATTAAGTTGGCTCGCCAGGAGGTACAAGTTATCCCCCATGAGCGAGGCCAATTCCTCCAGAGTGTGCCTTAGGAGCCAGGGGCTGTTGATTCCAACCCCGGCTCCCGTAGGCACCAAGTAGGGGGCATCCGACTCAGCAGTAATCTGCTAGGGTCAATGCCTCCCAGGGCCAGTCGCGTGGAGGGGGCTCTTAGGGATAGAACCGTCACCCCGATATGGAGGTTCGGAAGCAGCTGCCGCCAAGCCTCAATATCCTCCACAGACCCAGTGAAACAGTGCCAATGCACCGCCAGCGTGGAGGCCCCTGGCACCCTTCGGAAACATCCGAGGGCCTTCTGCGCTGCCCGGCCACTGCCCCCATCTTTGCAGTGAATAATCACCGGTCGGCCACCACCCTCAACCACAGCCCCTTGCAGGACAGGGGTCAAGGTGGTGACCTGATCCCTGGTGACCTGCTGCCAGCATTCTGCAGGTTTGGGACACCGGCCCGCACAGCTACAATTGGAGGTCAGTTCGATGCCTACCTCCCCTAAAGCTGTACAGGCCGGGTCCCGCAGCTGCTGCAGGAAAGCCATCAGGGGGCGTCCCCTCCCCACTTTATGAGGGTGCAGGCCAATGGCCACCTTGACGCTTGGGTCACCAGCCATCTGGCCCTGGCGCCTAGACCAGCTGTCGGGATAGGCATAATTGGCCACCCCGCCCAGAAGGACTACGTCCCCACCTTCCTCCTGAGCTGCTAAGTCAGCGAAGGAGGTTGCCCTGCCTTTCGCTAACAGAGCATCCAGGTGGAAGTGGCAGTCATAGACTGCCACTGGTGGGGGGCGCACAGGCGGACTTGGTCCTCTGGAGGCAGAATCACCACCATCGACAGAGGAGCACATAGCCGGCGCAGAACCTACCTCCTCCGATCGGCCGGGTGGTCTTGGCATATTCCAAACTTACTTGGCTCTTTACATACGTAAATTAAGAATCCCCNCTTACCACAGTCATTATAATGCATATTCCAACCTTACTTGGCTCTTTACATACGTAAATAAAGAATTTTTCCCCCCATGGGGAACCCCTGGGAAACCCACCAATCAGACGGCAGTATTCACGCACGTGATTTAAGACACGAAGCCATGCTTCCCACTTCATAATTCCAAAGCCCAAAAAAGTGAGAGCCAAGGAGACAAGGGGAGGCTGGGAGGGAACTCACCTAATGACTGTGGTAAGTATTTATAATAGAAATTGGTTTCACAAGAGAAACCTCAATTCTATTTCAAAATACGTTACCACAGTCATTATAATGCGAATTCGACTTACCGCAGTGGTGTCTCCGTGGAGCGATGAAGGGTTCCAACAATAGGACCCATACCCCCGGAGGAAAAATTCAAAATACCCTTTCCTTTTGTGACACAAAGCCTGATTACGACCAGCGTTCCGGATCACGCGGAGAAGACATAATGAGGCTTATGCAAAAGAAGAGGGAGGACAGACAACGGACTGGGCAGCCACAAGAGGGCCCAAAGAATACAATCCGTCAGACTGTCCCGACAAAGATCGGAGATAGAACTCCGTAAACGTAGAATGACCCCTCCAAACAGCAGCTGTCATGACCTCAGCGTAAGAAGAACCATTAAATAAGGCCCACGAAGTAGCTAAAGCGCGAACCTCATGAGCCCTAACCCCTGACACCCGCAAGGACTGATCCCCTGCCGACTCATACGCAGCTCGAACAGTCTGAACAATCCAGCGTGAGATGGTCGCTGCAGAGATATCAGAGCGACCGGGCTGGAGAGACTGGAACAGCCGAGACGAGTGTCCCGCCCCCCCCTCTGTTCTGGCCAAGTAGTAACGCAAGGCCCGAACTGGGCAGAGCAGGCGATCAGGACAATCCCCATCCAGAGTTGAAGCCAAAGAAGGGATAACCACAAGCCCTGGGGTGAAACCGGGAACCTGGTTCTTAGCTAAAAAGGAGGGATCAGTGGTCACTGAGACCGAAGAATGGCCAGCCGAAAAACGAAGGCAAGAAAGAGATCTGCTGAAAGCATGAATCTCGCTTCTGCGGCGACCGGAAGCAAAGGCTATCAAGAACACAGTCTTGAAAGTAAGAAACTTCTGATCCGTCGACTGGAGGGGCTCGAATGGCGCCCTGAACAAGGAATCTAGAACAAGTGCTAAATTCCACCTAGGGACCAATTGCCGTGAACGAGGCTTCTCAACGTAGAAGCCCCTAATGAGAGCAGACAATGAAGCGTCCGAGCCCACAGACTTGCTACCATAGCCAGCACACTAGCAATGGCTGAACGATAGCCTGCAATAGTTCCCGGAGACAGACCTTTGTCCCGGAACAGAGACAAAAGAAAGTCGGCTACAACGGGAACAGAGGCAGAGACTGGATCAATCGACCGTCCGACACACCAATCACCGAAGGCGGACCATCGAAATTGGTAGACGGCGGAAGACGAAGGTCTAAGTGATCCTGCGATGCGAGTGGCAACATCTCGAGAAAAGCCCGTCTGAGTGAGCCTTCCCGAGAAAGCATCCAACCGTGAAGGTGGAGCCGCTCTGGTCCCGAGTAGAACTGCCGGGACCTCGGTTGAGACAGCAGATCCCACAGGGGTGGGATGCCGCGTGGGAAGTCCACCGACAGCCGAAGCAACAGAGGAAACCAAGGTTGTCGAGGCCAGAGCGGTGCAACCAGCAACACAGTACAAGGGTGTAGAAGAATCTTCTCCAACCCCCTGCCCACCAGATTGAAGGGAGGAAACGCATACGCGTACATTCCCGACCAGTCCTGGGATAGAGCATCCACCGCCAAGGCCATAGGGTCTGGAACCGGAGACACAAACGTAGGGAGCCGAAAGTTCAGGGCCGTGGCGAACAGATCCACATGGGGTCTGTCCCAAACCAGGCAAAGAGACCGGAACACCGAACGCTTGAGGGTCCATTCGGTGAGAACCGGGCTCCGAGACCGAGACAGAGTGTCGGCCAGAACATTCAGACGACCTGGAAGGTGCCTCACCGTGAGATCGAGACTGATCTCCTGACACAGCAACAGGACCTGGGTGGATAAAGCACACAGAGCCGGGGAACGGGTGCCCCCCTGGCGCTGCAGATAAGCCACCACAGTGGAGTTGTCTGTCGCCAGACAAATGGCCTTGCCCTGCAGGGAGGGTCGAAGACCCCGAAGGGCCAACAGAACAGCACGCATTTCCAGAACATTGATGTGTTCTGAAAGCTGTTCCCCTGACCACACCCCCGCCGACGTCTGACCGGAAAGGTATGCACCCCAACCGGTCATGGACGCGTCGGTGTAAAGGGTCATAGCAGGAGATGCCCGAACCAGAGGAACTCCTGCCAAGACATTGCTCTTGAGAGTCCACCAACGAGCTGATTCCTTCACCGACTCCGGCAGAGGAATGTACACATCCCACTGTCGAGACGCCGGAGACCAAACTGACAGAAGGAACAGCTGGAGCGGACGGATGTGAAGCCGACCCAAGGGAACCACATCCGCCAATGAATTCAGGTAACCGAGGAACCGAAGGAACCATCGGACCTGAATTCGCTCCACACCGACCAGAACGGAGACCAACAGAGAGGCCTTCTCGAACTTGGACACTGGTGGAAGGACAAACCCCAGATCGGTTCTGAACCGATAACCGAGGAAAACAAAATCTTGAGAGGGGAGAACCTCCGACTTCTCCCTGGAAGGGATGAACCCTAGGCGGCACAGAACGCCCAGAACCGACCTCGTGCTCCGGGACAGGATAACTGGATCCACTTGGAGCAACAGGGAGTCGTCGAAGTAGATGTGTGCATCTACCCCGAGACTGTGGAGGTGCCCCACTACTACCTGCAACAACTTGGTGAAAACCAAGGGGGCCGTAGTGAGGCCGAAGGGCATAGCGCGAAACTGGTAAACCTTCTGCTCGAAAGTGAACCTGAGGAACTTCCTGGCCGACCTCCTGACCGGGATGTGAAAGTAAGCATCCTTCAGATCGATGGACGTAGCCCACATCCCTGGACGCACTGACGCAATGATGCGCCGTGGCGTTTCCATCTGGAAGTGCGGGGAATCGACATACGTGTTGAACGTACTGAGGTCGATAATAGGCCTCCAGGCACCGGACTTCTTCTTCACGAGGAAGACCCGGGAGTAAAACCCTGGAGACCACTGGTCCGGTGAAAGTTCCTCGATCGCGCCCTTCGCGATCATGGCCTGAACCTCTGACCTGAGAGCCTCCACCTTTCCCGGATCGGAAGGAGAAGGGAAAAAGATAGGCTCTCGCGCCAGAGGTGGATCCCGAAGAAGCGGGATGCAGAGACCCTTGGACACAACCCCTAGGGCCCAACTGCCTGATGTGATTTCTTTCCACTGAGGAACGAAATGGGACAGCCGACCGCCTACTAGCAAGTCCGGAAGGGGCCAATCTAGCCCTTCCCAAACCACATCGGCGGAGCCTCCCGCGCCCAAGGGCGTGGGAGCGGCGACAGACAGTGGACAAGGAGTTCGCAAGGGCAAGGAAGAGTCAGGAACCCTTCCTACCTCTGGAAAATTTGGCTTTGCCTCGACCCCTATGGGAACCCCTACCGCGGAAGGAAGATTTCCGACGTTCTGCCGGAGCGGAAGTCGGAGGGGCAGCCTGCTGCTGAAAAGCAGTCGTCTTTGCCCTCTTCCTCCTACGCTTTTAATTTAGCGTTTTGTTATATTTTGCGCCGTTTTGCGACCAGGCTCCGGCCACGTGTTCGCGTTTTTGACGGTTTGTTTACTTGAGATGGAGACTCCTCCTTCTCAAAGGCGCGGTCCAACTGGACAATGGCGTACGCAATAATATATAAATGTGGTTTACACTATAATGGTACGTTCTCCATTTCTAAATATATAAACAAGAATTCTAGTGAGAATAAATTCATACGCTCTACTAAATGACACAAATATTGACCACGCCCATCGGCGAAAATATAAAGGTAAATTAAAAATAGTCTGAAAATAATAATTTCAAGAATAAATAATACTTTACTTCTAATTCTATACTAGTTCCGAATATGCATAATATGTACATGTAACTGTTCTGTTTCACTGTGTCTTGAAAAAGGAGCGGATCGCTCCGAAAATTTGACAACCTAAACTTGTCCACACTGTTGGAATTACTTCTTTGCCCCATATTCACATATATATATATAGACATGTACTATACTCAACAAATACATACATGTAACTTCTCACAATCTAGGGAGGTCAATGTTTTAGAAGTTGAAACATTTCAACAGGGTACATTATACCCTTTTTGGGTGTATACAGCACAATGTATATTTGCAAGTTATTAGCACATGTATATATTAATGTGTATAAAGGGCTACACAAACATATAAAAAAGTCAACAATATTTAATTAGTGTAATTCTTAAGGGTATATGGGTGACCAACTGTTTGAGGTTCATTCACTTGGCTTTGGTTTTCAAATTTTTTTCAAATTTTTTTTGGACTTAAGTTCCAAGTTTTGTTGAATGTTTGGATTTGCATGTTTTTTTGTAACAAGGTCAATTCGTATGTAAATGTTTGAGTTAGGTTTACTTTCAATCCTATTATTGAGAGATTTCCTTTTTTTTTTAATTACAGAATATGTTGTATTTAGTGTATGTAACCTGTGACCCCGAATAGAATTGTACTTATATCAAGGTCAATATTTTTACCAAGTTTATTATGAATCCATCTTCTAAGATTTCCCCATAAGTGTTGGGTGCTGATGCAATTCCAAAATAAGTGTTCTATTTTGTATGGGTGTGCTCTACAGAGTGAACAAGTATCAGGGTCTTTAATACCAATTGTTTTTAACTACGAATAAGTGGTAATAATCCGGTTCAGGATTTTATATTGGAACTATTGGAGTTTTGTTATTTTTGTGGTTTGGAAGGGTAATTGATATATTTGGTTAAAATTAATTGCACTAAATCTATCATCTGATTTCCATTGTTGCTCTGCTGTATTTTTATATGTATTTTGTTTATTCAATAGTGTGGTTTACATTCTGTACTTCCCTTGATGGATTTTACTATTATTTGTAGGTGAAATGGAATGAAGGGTCTGGGGTGGTAATTCTCTGATTTTGTTAAGTCTATATTCAGTGTATGTGCAGCTTTTGTTATTGATTCACAGATGCTTCTATATTGGAGAAAGTTGTTTGAGTGTATAGTATATTTCTGTTTGAATTCTTTAAATGAGAGAAAAGTGTTATCATTTTGCAGAATGTCATTTACAAATTTTACTCCTTTGACATGCATGTCTTAATAGAAGAAAGAGGAATTCTTTATTAAAATATTTGGGTTATACCATTGTGTTGATTCTTGAAAATGTGTAAGTTATTTGGGAGGATTGTTTTCTGTGATGGTTACCCAAGCTTCAAGAACATCTTTCCAGAATTTATTGGTTGTTTTGAAGTTTAAAGTGGTCTACATTGAATTGTGATATATTGTGTGTGCAAGTTATTTCCGCTTTAAACAAATTAATCCATTCTTTTGTTTTTGCTGTGAGATGCCGTCTAATCGAAATTGATTTGAGGCTAGTAATAAATTTATCTAAGTCAATAATTTTTAATCCTCCGTCTTTATAATGTTTCACTAGAGTTTGTCTTTTAATTTTTTCTGTGTTTGACTGCCATATGAATTTGAAAAATGAAGTGTTTAAGTACTGAATTGTGTTTTTGCTCGGGTTAGGTATTGCAATGAAAATATGTGTTATTTTGGGGATTATGAGAGATTTAAGAACTACCATTCTTCCTATAGGAGTGATATTTCTTCTAGACCATTGTTTTAACATTAATTCTATCTCAGTTATTTTGTTTTTGAAGTTCCATTCCATTTCAGTTTCCATCGATGGTGATAAACATCTGCACTAAATTTCTTTGAGCCTATCCATATAACTTGTGTTTTGTCTGTGTTTACTTTCATGCCTGATATTAAAGCATACTTTTCTAAAGTTTCCAAAGCCTCGGTGAATGATTTCTCAGAACCATCTAGAATAAAACTTTTTTTCCAGTATAGCCAAGATTTCAGCCACAAGTAAGAAAAGATAAGATGAAACCGGGTCCCCTTGACGACAGCCGCTTTTGATAGGGATACAGTTTGATAGGAAGCCATTTTGTATGACTGCAGATTAGGTTTGATTATTAAATGTTTTGATCCAATTATAATGCTGTCTCCAAAGTTAACAAATCTGAGTACTTCATATATGACAGGTCATGAAACAGAGTCAAAAGCTATCTCGAAATCAACAAGCATCAACTTGTTCTAACTTGATAATAAACCAATGCTTCTTTTTTTCCGAGATTCAATCCTTCGTTCTCCACATTTATTTTTATATCTTGTATTTGGCATACCAACATTGTTATTGACAGACGGATAACACAAACATATACGGTACAGTTTGTCGTAACGAAGCATCGCACAATCCCACAGCTGTAATTAACGACAAACTTCCCACTGAGCCTTTCTCACTACTAGCCTGTCCTCCACTTACTCAAACGTCATCACGTACAAATGTGAGTATTGTGCCCATGAAAGCTATTTAAGAGTTTTTTTTTAAATGAAACCTTCCAATTAAATTCACAAATAAAGACAGAACAAGATAATGTCAACAATGTTTGAAGGCGAACACGAGAGAGCTGGGAGAAAACCCGTGTATGGCTTGACCTACTTCACAGAACAAACACGTCTATGGGTCCCAAACGTGTCCTTTCTTGTCATCTTTGTTAACATCTCATGGAAATGTTCCACTAAATGACCTGGGTAGAAAAACAGTGGATGAGAGTTTTTTGAGATAAGAAATATAGCACACTGTATTATAAGAAAAAAGTACATCTGAGACGTCCTCCAGGACTGATCGGAGATATATTGACTATTTAGGATCAGTGGGAATAACTGACCTCAGTAACAGTATGTCAAACATGTGTGGCATTGTATCACAGTATGTCAAACATGTGTGGCATTGTATCCCAGTATGTCAAACATGTGTGGCATTGTATCGCAGTATGTCAAACATGTGTGGCATTGTATCGCAGTATGTCAAACATGTGTGGCATTGTCTCACAATATGTCAAACACGTGTGGCATTGTAGCACAGTATGTCAAACATGTGTGGCATTCTATCCAAGTATGTCAAACATGTGTGGCATTGTAACACAGTATGTCAAACATGTGTGGCATTGTCTCACAATATGTCAAACACGTGTGGCATTGTAGCACAGTATGTCAAACATGTGTGGCATTCTATCCAAGTATGTCAAACATGTGTGGCATTGTCTCACAATATGTCAAACACGTGTGGCATTGTAGCACAGTATGTCAAACATGTGTGGCATTCTATCCAAGTATGTCAAACATGTGTGGCATGTTATCACAGTATGTCAAACATGTGTGGCAGTGTATCACAGTATGTCAAACATGTGTGGCATCGTATCACAGTATGTCAAACATGTGTAGCATTGTATCACAGTATGTCAAACATGGGTGGCATTGTATCCAAGTATGTCAAACCTGTGTGGCATTGTATCACAGTATGTCAAACGTGTGTGGCATTGTATCCAAGTATGTCAAACACGTGTTGCATTGTATCACAATATGTCAAACACGTGTGGCATTGTATCCAGGACTGATCGGAGATATATTGACTATTTAGGATCAGTGGGAATAACTGACCTCAGTAACAGTATGTCAAACATGTGTGTCATTGTATCACAGTATGTCAAACACGTGTGGTATTGTATCACAGTATGTCAAACACGTGTGGTATTGTATCACAATATGTCAAACACGTGTGGCATTGTAGCACAGTATGTCAAACATGTGTGGCATTCTATCACAGTATGTCAAACATGTGTGGCGTTGTATCACAGTATGTCAAACATGTGTTGCATTGTATCACAGTATGTCAAACATGTGGGGCATTGTATCAAAGTATGTCAAACATGTGTGGCATTGTATCGCAGTATGTCAAACATGTGTGGCATTGTAACACAGTATGTCAAACATGTGTGGCATTGTCTCACAATATGTCAAACACGTGTGGCATTGTATCACATTATGTCAAACACGTGTGGCATTGTATCACAGTAGGTCAAACATGTGTGGCATTGTATCACAGTGTGTCAAACATGTGTGGCATTGTATCACAGTATGACAAACATGTGTGGCATTGTATCCAAGTGTGTCAAACATGTGTGGCATTGTATCACATTATGTCAAACACGTGTGGCATTGTATCCAAGTATGTCAAACACGCGTGGCATTGTATCACAGTATGTCAAACGTGTGTGGCATTGTATCCAAGTATGTCAAACACGCGTGGCATTGTATCACAGTATGTCAAACGTGTGTGGCA